CGCGGCAAAGCTGGTGTTCTGGCGCGCTCGCGTCCACATGGAGGCGGCCGCGGCGGTTGGCAGCATGACCGCTTGCGCTTTGTAGAGGAGGCAGCGCAAAGGCCTGCTTGCAGGCCTGCCTCCAAGCCTAGATTTTGTGTGTGGATGTTCTACGTGCGGAACTCGATTTTTTTGTCTTACGCCTGCGCGCGCTTCGCGTTCTGGGGCGCCGCCCCAATAGAAGAATTAGAGAGAATTGGATGAAAGTTGAAAGAATTATTTGTGAATGTGTGAAAAGGATATTTTTGTTGCGTGTCCAGTTAGGAATCAGGGCTGTGAGGGTGGACGCGCAAGCCAATTTGGAGATATTTTAGCGAAATGTCGAGGATATGAAACGTGTCGCTGGACGCGCAATAATATCATATGAGTTTCATTATAGGAAAATTGCGCGTCCACGAATCAGCCCTCATTCCTGAAGGATATGTATATAGTGTGGTACTATATGTCTCGATAGATCGTGTGTCTCACCTTTCCTGCCGTACTCAACTCCACCGCCAGCAAAAACACACGCGATGTAGAGTTCAACACGATGTGTATTTTGGATCTTTCAATTCTTCGAAGCACCAGCAATGCAGGACTGGTTCAGATGTCATACCAGCGACTATTGGTTCTTCAGCATCGCGTACAAACGCCCAGCGCCGCGTTTAAGGTCAGGCTGAGGATCCTCAAGACGAATCGAGTCGTCGAAGCGCTCGATGGCGACGTCTGTGCGCTTGAGGAAGTGACGCGACTTGAAGTTCGTCACAACGCCGTACATGCGCTCGTCGTTGTTCTTGTCTGCCGCAGCCTCTATGGCCAGGACAGCACGTTCTGTCCCTGTGGCTAAGTCGTACTTCTTGTCGTCCACGATGCACACCACCGTTTTCGTGCCTCTGGTGATTCGGAAATCCACGAAACCGTTCGCTTTGACGAAGGACCTCACGAGTTTGGACTGGACAAACAGACGAAAGCGCTCGGCATCCTCCTTGTCCTTGAACATGCATACGACATGCTCGAAGATGAAGCTCAACTGGATGCGTGTCTCCTTGTTCGCATTCATGTTCTCGTAGGCCCACGTCTTGGTTTCGATAACCTTCATGAGATCGTCAAGCACGTCGTCGTTGATGCCTCATGCATTTCTCATGAGGTCGTAGCATTCCCCCTACGTCACACTGCTGTGATCGGTACGGTAGCGATTCGGCAAGTGCGCGAACACGACCGCCGAAAAGGCCGTGCTTCCGTCTTTGCGAGCCTTGGAACGGATGGTACGATTCAGATCTTCCCCGTGAAGTTTGCGCGCAGAGAGAAGCTTGCGATTCAGCGCGCCTCGCAAGCAATGGCATGATCAAAATCGGGTAGTCGCACGAACACGTGAATGCAGTTCTTTCCCAGCTCCCCACTGAATATGTCGGAGTTCAGCCTGGTAGCAGGGAGCTTTTTGAACTCGACATCGCTCGTCGACGCATCCTCTTCGGGCTGCTAGTGTCCGTCTTTGCGCGCGAGTGACAGTCTTAGTTTGCGGTCGGCGATGTCTTTCAGGCAGCTTAGACATCTCGTTCATACGAGGCTCTTCAGGTCACTCACAATATCTTCCGGCGCGATGATGACGTGGAACGCCTGCGCATTCGGTTTGTGGATCAAGCAGAGCAGCTTCATCTTGGCCGTTGGGTGAAAATTCCCAACTGGACTATCGACCGCCAACTTGCCCAACACGCTGACTTGGCCAGGTCGACAATTCGACGCGACGCAGGCCGAATCGCTGTTGACCGCCAATGAACAAAACGTTCGCCGTTATCTGCCAGGGCGGACCCCGATGTTTGGGACCCGCCCGACCTTTCCCGCCGGTGCAATCGACTGCCAACTGCCCCAAGCCGTCCGGGCCATTCTTTCCAGAAATGCGCCCAGCCTCTCAACTGACACAAGACATCCAATCCCCTCCCGCCCCGTCTTTTCCCACGACGCACGCCACCACCTCCACTCATTGGACAACTATCTTCTCCCCTACCCCCCAGTTTCTGATAGGCGCGCGATTTGTTTCGTCCCCTTCCTCTACTTCGGCTAACTGCCTACTAGGCACCACTAGTACTATTTTTAGCCTACTAGGCACCACTGGCACTATTAGCAACATTCGTCAGTCAGATTCTGGCACATTGGGAACTCATCCCCCCAAAGTATAATGCAAATTTCTCACCCAGCCAAACTCCCCACCTGACGATGTCTTCCACGTAGCTCACCCGATAAATCGAGCTTCAATCTAGAACTGGGCACCCGCGAGGATGGCCAGGCGCTACTTGATGGGATAAGTAAAACAACATTAGAAGTAGCGGTATTTCACTTGCGCCGGAGCTCCCGCTTATTCTACACCTCCTAAGTCATTTCACAACGTCAGACTAGAGTCAAGCTCAACAGGGTCTTCTTTCCCCGCTGATTTTTCCAAGCCCGTTCCCTTGGCTGTGGGTTCGCTAGACAGTAGATAGGGACAGTGGGAATCTCATTAATCCATTTTCGTTTGAAAACATTCCACACCCACTGTACATATGACCACGCGTGTGTGGGAAATGTACTTGGCTGATCTGCTCAAGTACGAGATCGAAGGCCCCTCTGTTATTGCGGCCGACAACTTGGATTGTCATATCCCCCATGCCTCGCTCGACAATTTGTCATCTGAACTATTCAGTGATTTTTTCAGCCCCTACCCAAGAGCTCCACCAGCGTCTGCCAGCCTTTGGATGTGGGTTTGATGGGGCCTCTGAAGAGCAAGTTGCGCTCGAAGTAGCTCCAAGAACCACCTGTCACGGCAGCGGTAGAAAAGCGCCAGGCCATGATCCAGCGCACGATTGCAGCGTGGGAAGAAATACCAACTTCACTGGTCCGTCGTTCATTTGAGATGGCAATGCCTGGTGCCCCCCAATGCCCCTTAACATCCACAGTAGTTTCGTTTCATAGTATTTACGTTTCACAGTAGTATATTTCGTCGTGTAATGGATTTTTGTCGTCGTTGTCGAAAATATGTTTTTTTTTGTCCAATCAAAAAACAGTAGCGAATTTGGCAAACAATTTAATCATGTTAAAAAACCATCACGAATTACTACTCTGGTCCACAAAAAGAGTCACATATTTCTTCTGATTGGCGGCATTTTTCTAATATATCGAGTTGAGGCTATCTAATTGGCTTACAAGAAAGCGCATGATCTC